TAAATCTTAAAGCGTTCTTTCGATGTCACATGAATCTTTCATAGCAATGGTTCCAGATAGGGTGTGTTTTTGAAGTGTTGCGTGCTGCGTGATTTAAAATTTACTTTGATTTATTAACTCAGTGCCATATTCAAGACCTGTAACAAATGGGTAATAACTGTAGAAAGAAAGCTCCTTATTTCAATACCAATAAACAATTCCTGGCGAGAACTCTGGAGTCAACTTCACGACTAATGAAGAAGTCAGCAGAGCGGCGGAAGAACGGCAATTCTTAATGTTAAAAACCAAACGTTTTTATTTACTTATTTATCTACTAATCAAATACATTATTACATTATAATCCATCCATAAGATTTAGCAGCGAAAGCACATGTATATTAGTAGTGTTACTTGAGGTACAGCTTGAGTTCAGTTTCATTTATGTCCTTAACAGTGAACAGTTATCACCCAAAATGCTACCTCTCTTTTAGAGTAAGTATTGAAGGATTGTAGTAAATATGGCCAGTACTATAAGTCCATATTTCTCAATTGTAAAACGATGCCCACTGCCGTCTCTCGCGCCTGTACCAATTGGTGGAGGTCCTGAAGAGCCTACTTTCTAGGTGTACCACTGGTGCACTGAAGCTTGATTATTTGAAAATAAAAGTTTTATTGAACAATTTCTTCAGTTTTTAAACTTTGGTTGTTCCTAACTCCTGCAGTTTGATTCTGCTCATTTTATGTAGCATAGCCGTTTCAAGGATTCTCCTACTAATTCATAAAAAGTTTTCTTCTTTTTTTTTCATTTTCTACAGAAGACCACCTCCGTGGACACGTTGATGTTCTACACCTTCGCCAATTTCTCCGTGATAAACACTATTTACACCGCCTCCAATTCCTCCTCCATATCCGTCACTGCCGCCGCTATGAACCCCTGATCCAATTCCGCCTCGAGTGCCTTGGTCATTATTTATTCCAGCTCCAGCTCCGATCCCACCGCGGTTTGCAGCTCCACCTGCAAAAATTCTGTTCAGAACCTATTAATATAGCGACAGTCAATATATAGTAAATAAACACAAGTTCAAACTGCCTTTGCATTTTACACAACAGCATGGCACAGTAAGGCAACAAAAACCTCACGAGCAAGTTGAATAACGCTTACTTTGGATGTGCACAAGTAGAGAAGTTTTTAACGCGTATGGATTCTAATACCGTAAAAAATCTTGATAAGGTATTCTAATGGAAGTTTTAGAAAAAGAATTAGCATATAATGGAAGTTAGAATTATAAAGAGATTCTGACTTGGGAAATTGCATAGGTCCTGAATGCATAGAATACATTCGCCATTGTAGAATTGCATTGCGGTGCAGCTTTCTGTGCATCCGAGTCGGATAACTAGAAATTGTATCTTATTTTGGTGAAATTCCCAAGTCTGCTTAAAAAGTTATCAAAAGAAGGGGAGTGCAAATAACAATGTGTAAACTTATATAACGTTTTATCCAGACTTCTTCCTTCATCTTTCAGCGTATAACATGATGCTTGAAAAGGGCAGAACTCCTTAGTCGGATTGAGACAATTGAAATTATCCAAGCAAGAATAGCACTGAAGACTGGAAACTAAAATTTTTCACGAGGTCACCCAAATTGACGATTTAATATAATTGTTTAAAACTACATGTTTCCAATTACCTTTTATTATCGTTACTAACTACAAAACTGTCATTACTGCACTGAGCAATCATAGCTGAATTAAAGCTAAGGAATGGTTTGTTTTGTTTGATAGCCCCTCTCTACACAAATTGATACTTTTTCTTGTTTACGGAACCCAAAACAGATGTGAGCAGAGGGTCGCTGTTTCGTTACTTTAATGAGGTGTTGTAAATGCTTATGGGGATATGTTTGAATCTGACAGAGTTCAAAAAGAAACAAGTGAAGAAACTTGCCGAAAGTAATGGAGCACAAGGCTAGAATTAGGCAGCGGAACATCTGAGATTTGACAGTAAGAAGAATGTTGCAGACGTTGTAGATGCAGGGGTGGTTTTTGGAAAACAAAATTTTTAGTGCCAAGAGCAGTAAAGAAGTGATTACAGACTGTTACAATTTATAAGCAAGTGGAGCTCTTATCAGCAACCTCTGATGGGTGTACGTTGGACACAATCATTGTTCAAAGAATGTGCTAATAGATTTGGTCCTATTTTATTTTTTTTTGTACGAAAATGGCTTCCAGTGAAAATGAGTTGTTTTTGTATGGTAATAGTACCGTGCCGGACTGGCTATTGAATTTCATCATTTTTCATTCCTTATGACGATCTCTGGCTAAATGAAAGTGACAGGAAAGAGATATGCAATAGTTCCTAGATAAATCAAGAAATGTCTTTCGTTGCAAAATCCTTGGGTTAAACAAAGTTAGGTTTGCTATTCTCCTGCCATACGGTGGAGGTCAACAGTTTGAAGTTGTGTCTATGGAAGTTTACCGAAAACTGAGAGTGAAGGTTCTGAAATGTAATGTAGAGCATCTGTTGATGTTTCCAAAATTTTTTCTTGGGATTTTTCAGTACCAGTTTTCCAAAGTTTTAAAGAAACAAAACCATGCATGCTCCTTAACTACTACCAAATTCAAGCCATCTTCAACTTCAGAACTTCCCGTTTCCTCATAATTTAAGTACAACTATACATTATATGAAAACAATCAGTTCTTAGGAAAGACATCTTTCCAAATTTCAAACTAGAGAGCGATGAATAATCATTTCAGAATCGACAAACCTTTAAGTAAAATTTAGCTGCCAAAAGTTTGTGTAAACATAAAAGTTCATCAGTTCCGCATCAGTAAACTGGATGTTTAACGGCGCCCCGGAAGCAGAAACTTTATTTGGAATCATTCAGCTGACAATATTACAAAACTGCCTCTCTTCTCAAGTGTAAGGCACATAATCTGTTGATATCATTGATTGAACAACCTTAAGCCATCAATTTTAACAAAAATCCTTTCAAAGGAAAACTATCACAGCGAGAGAACTACTTGTACTATCTTGTTAATGTAAGAAGGAAAGAATATATCTACGAAATAAAAATGTCGAATTGTGCCAGTTTACTGGTACCATTAAATTTGAAGAATAACCATCACCGCCTAAAATTCGTACAGTCAAAGAATTGAATTAATTGAATAAGAAGAAACAAAGACTAGGTAAGTGGTGGTACTGAAAGTGAATATCCACAACTCTGAGTACTGAATGCATAAAATGAAAGAAAAAAATAGAGACAGAACAATGGGCCTAATCATACTGGCAAGTAAAATATATTTTTTCACAAGCAGATAAAAAGTTTAAACAAATAGCCAATTTTCAAATCGGTTACTATTTACAGAAAAATAACCCTAAACTTCTAAAATCTAGAGAAGCAAAAAGCATTGACATTTGGAGATCATACCTTCCACAAAAAAAAAAAGTTGAAATGAAAGAAGATCGTTACCTAAATGAGCGGTTGTCTTGATCAATATCATACAGGCCTAATTGAGTCATGAGAAAGAAAAATCACATTCATTTACAAACACTAAAGTTCGGAAGACATTTCAAAGCAAAGAACTTTGATGTAGTCAATCAACTAGTTGATAATCACAAAACTGAAGCTAATATAATAAAAAATAAAGAAACAATTGCAAGGAGTAAAAGATTCACATATATTACGCAATGACAGGAAAGGGCAAATGAAAAAGAAAACACAAAAAAAGTTGTAAATGAAATAAAACAACAAAACTGAATCGTTATGACTGGCCAAAAATACGTTTCGTTTGATGACATGTAATTTAAAACGACTAATTCCAGTATGATTATGCAGTTATTAACATTCATGCAAAACAAGCATCTCATCAGTCCAACACAGTATAACCCGTAAATATTCGACCCGAACGTAGAAGGACCAAAAATCATATAGTTGCTAAGGCAACGATCCTTAATGTATCACAGTGTTTTACTTGCCCTATACAATACACTCTCATAATCAGCCAATATGGCAGGATGTCCATCTACAGAAAACCTGCAAAAAATAATTCACTAGCAAGTACACTTGATTGTAAGAACATTTTTTATTAAAATGTACAAAATCTGATATTTGCAAATCTGAAGTACTTTCTATTCATTTTCAAAGTTAGTTCCTACACTAAAGTCTAAAAAATACAAAAAATTTTTTAAAAGTTTTCGGTTCAAGAATAGTTGTTATCTTTGTATATATTCAAGAGCGATTGGCAAAGCTAAACTCCATTACACTACAGAGAAATGTGAATTTGGAAGATTATGAATGGTTTTCTATATTCTTCTCCAATTTCCTACTCTAACAATCACATCTTCAACTACTTTTTACACCAAAAAAAATCAAATTGTGATCAATGTTTTTTAATCGCTCTAAAACAAATTTAAAAACTTTTTGCTCGTTTTCATAACTATCATAAAAACTATTCGCAAAGTGATTTTTACTGAGTATCTCATTACTTATTAACAAGTGTCTGTAGACCTCATATTTATATTCTAATGTTGGTTATTAGTGAAACCTTTACATCAAATAATGCTTTTCAGAGTCCATTCTACAATTTTTCAATATACAAAGTCAAATTTGAAATTTTGTTAATTTGTCGGCCAGGCTTTTGAAGCAAAGGCGTACAGATAACTATAGTGTATGTTTTAATTCAAAACTGGTAAGTCTCCCATCATGTAAACATTTTTATAAAACTTGTTCCTCTTATCGTCAGAAATGATGAAAGGCAGCTAAAAATTGCTTTCAACAACTGCTGAGCTAATTCATCAATAGGAGAAAATACCTACCTAACCACGCCTTTGTAAATTCCATATTTCGTGTCGTCACCCAAGCCGAAGCAGCGGTAAAGCACAGAAAGAGATGAAGGCCTCATAGAAAATATTACAACGAACGACTCGCTAAAGAAAAGTTTTATAAACTGCAAAGCAGTTTTCCTTATGCACATTTGGATGTTACTCAGCTCCCAGTCAAAAACCTTCTCAATGTTTTATTTAAGGCAAAATTGTTGATAATGAGCATAAAATTTTGCCGTTTTCCAATCATAAAAAAAGAAAATCTATCCTTCTCTTTAAGCAGCAAAAGATACGTGCAAAATAACTTGTTAGTTCACGAAGGATACTGTGACCATAACTAAAAATTACTCCAGAAGATATCTAAACCAAGTATGAATATTATTCCTTCAGAAATTCTTGGCCTTAATTTTTGGTCAAACCACTTCTTTTCCCCGAACCTTCAAGATTCCGATAAGCCCCATTAAGTTTATATAATACAGGTCTTCCCACGCTCGGAAGAATGCTGATTCAGATTAATACAACCTAAAAAAGATGATACCTTTTTGAAAGTTTGAGACGTTTCACGGGTGAATGAAGAATTGAACCACGTTGACAGTCGGCAATTTCTCTTAAAATTACCTTCCTGCTCGATATAATAATTCTCCTAACTTCATCATCGTAAAGATGCTCAGATAGATTGTTCAGCTGCAAGGTTCCAGAAGTATTAATTCTGAAAAAAAAACAATAATTACGAAAAATTTTAATTTAAAGAGGATTTATAAAGTTTTCTACCACTCGGTACATATCTTTGAAAAAAATTTTGATTCAAAACGTAAAATAAATACAGTATACAGTCAAGAAACTCCATATCCGAATTTTCCCACTTCTTTATGCTTTGTCGTTCTCTATTTTCGTTAACATTGTTAAGTCCGATTGCTGACTCCAGCATCGAAATCCGAGACACATCTGGCACATATGAAATTCCTGATACCAACCATTTGTCTACGTATTCACAGCATTTCTGAAATTTGCAAGACAGTTATGCCGCAAGACAAAAAAAAGAGAAATACCAGCAAAAAAATGCGACGTTAATACGATGTTGTAGCTTACATTTTCCTTTTTTTCAGTAAATGCATTGAAAATCGACCGTTTCAGGACAAAAGCTCTCGAAAAACTAGAGTTTTCAAAACGGTAAACAGTGGAAGCCAATGAAGAAGTTTGTACGAAAGCTAAAAATCTATTTTGGTTAATCGCATCCATTGCAGCCGAAAAGTTTGATTTTCTATTTTATAGCAAAAGTAACGTAGCAAGTTTAAATCTCAGACTTTGTAAAAGACTCCGCAAATAAAGTAAAAAGCCCATAGATTTATTGGGCACAACAGCTACCATTATCACTTCATGGTCAACCAAGTTAATGGTTAAGAATCACTTACGAAAAAAGTGTGAAAGAATTCCTAAGACAGAATATCAAAAAGTGAGCCAAATCGTGTACGATTTTATGTCAATTTTTCCGAGCGTATTTAACGCTTCCACCTCAAAAATTGTTTCATTGTAGAAAATTTTAAATATTATACCGTTTTTGTTGAAAAGTTGAATTATATTTGCAGTACTGTCGCTCAAAAAACCGTCTAGTAACTGGCCAATAAAATCAAGAAAATCAGGAGAAACTACGACGTCTTCCTCGATAACAATTATACATGGGGAGGAAACATACGAGTCCAACATTTGAGAAAGCGACGAAAGCACAAAATCTAACAGAAAGTTTAGATTACATAAATATCAAAAAAATTTAAAAGATGGTCAGATATGTTTAGCACGACTATACCCAACAAATTACCAAAAAAATAAAGCATTTTTTAATACATTGAAAGCCTCAAAGGTTTTTAAAAACGTTCAGACACAGATCATGTCTTGAAAAACTACTAAAATTCGCTTAAAAGTACCGTTGTACGAGGTGGTGTTAAATACAGGAAGAGGTCGAAAATCAAATAAGGCAGCAAGTTCACCAAGTTCAGGATAAGCAGGATCAAAGCCAACTGCAACGTTTCTTGTATCAAGCCCTTCCAATTCCATCAAACTTTCCAGGCAAAGGCGAATGCTGTTACCACTAAGACCTGCAAAATTAAGTATGGAGGAGAAAAACAAAGCAGTTATAATAAAGTGACATTTAGATATACTTAGAAAGTGATTTAACTAAATCTAATAACCAGAAACTGTTACAGCCGACATCAAAATCCTTCGTCACAAAACCCCCTGAATCTAAAAAAGTCTCTCTTCATCCCTTTGAATTTTTTGCAATGTTTTGTATAGACATAAGGTCTCTTCGTCTCTGCATAAATTATTTTCAAACTTTTTCTACTGAGAATAAGTGCAACAGATCCAGGAAGAAATAGAAAAAGAGAATGAAATTATGTAAAGCACTTTGATCGCGCATTCAAAAAGAAAACGTCCAAGTAAAATTTGTTTTCAAGAACAACAATCTAAGGTCGTCACAAACAGCCCCATCTATTAGATAAAGAAAAATAATTTAGAATGAACATCCATTTATATATAGAACTATATGAGAAAAATGCAGCTCTACAGTTTTCTCTGCTACACAAGACAAATTTGGAAAAATAAAATAAATTAGATACTATTAATCTAGGACAGTTTTTCTTAACCTTTCTATACCCTAACTGGAAACAAAAAGGTTTCTAACTCTCATTTCTCTATGCCGGCTCTTTAAAATGAAACATATCCTTAACGTTTTTCAAAAATGTTATGAATTAAAACATGCCTCCTGCAATGAGTATTGGAAGTGAATAAACAAAACGACCAATAGTAGGGCGATTTACCAAAGTTTTTGCAGTTGGGACGTCATCCAGACGGTCATCTAAAAGTTCTTTTTCTCAAATTCTGCCACATACCAAGAAAAATATTTACTTTCAGCTATTTAAATCAGGAGCTGCTGTCTTCAGCTTGAAAAAACGAGTTTGGAATACAAAAAGTTCAAAAGTTAATAGAAAAATTTAAGTTACCTCTGCAAAAATCCCCATAGCCATCGTACTTATCGCAGAAATGACGCCTTGCACTATTTGTTCGCATTGAAGAACGGTCATCGCTTTTCCTCTTGTAACTATTCACTGAAAGCCAGCATACTGTATGAAAAACAAAAAGTGATAGTGAAAACAAGGCAACAATTACAGTTTAGAGGAACACAGACTGCAAGATCAATCGGTTTCGCCCATTCATTACTTGATGGTGCAAACATGTCCTCGAACGGAGTAAAACTATCAATGCCTTTCTGCCCCACAAAGTACCATGAAGATCGAAACTTTATATCATGGATTAGGCTTGAACCCAATTCATAAAATATCTTCTTAGCAATGTCGGAAAGTCTAAAAGTAATACAAATTAATATAACACAAATACTGCGTCGAATATTGAACATTTTAAAAGGAAGGAGCCAAAGTCACCTCGATGCTGCTTCATCAAAGCTAACAACAGCGAGGATTTCTCCATCCTTCAAGTGTTCCAAAAAAGAAATCAGTTGATTATCCTCTAAACAAAATAAATTACGACTTCGCGTTTGTGCATGAAATGAACTTCCGTAGAAGCAACGATTTTGCATCCAAAAAGCAAATAAAAACAATAGAGCAATATTTCTGCCAGTGATTAGTTGCCAAAACTTTATGCAAATTGCAAACTCATGAGTAAAAACCTGGGAAAATGGTAAAAGAATCTACCACAAGTAAACCGTAATTTCAGAAATTCCGACCGCATAAACCACAGCCTCAATCGTAGACAAAAATATTTAAAAACTTATCAACGAACTAACCTTGTTCGTATGTGTCAAAGTGTCCAACCCGAATAACCTCCCGCGTTTTCACATCCAATACGACTAAATTCAACCCTCTACCAGCGTCATTAAGATCTCGATCAATCACACTAAAAAGGATCAGCGAAAATAAGCAATGAAAGCGTAAATCGAAAACCAAAAACACAATTAAAAAGAATATTTAAAAAAAAAAAGAAACTGAGGCATTACATCCGACCGTTGACGCAAACACGAGGAGCATCATCCTTGTTTTTACCCGAATAAAAAGACATTGGAATTTCACCTAAAAGATTCACCACAATAAAAAATAAATATTTTAAGAAAAACAAGAGATTTCTAAAGAAAAAACTGTAAAAAACCTTTTCGACACGGCGTAGGATTACCACAATCTACAAGGACGCCTCTATACGATATAGTCAACGCCTCAGGACTACTGACTGTTGCTTTCGGCAGTAACTTTTCATCTATTCGAGTTATGATTGAATTTTGAGATTTATTATCCAGCAACGGACCCACTGAACCAGACAAATTCGTATGAATAAACAAAAAACGCCAATAATAGACAGAAAAAAATTTAACAGAAAACTTAGGCACAACAATTAAGACCAATTTTCTTAAAATTAAAGACCTACTTGGAACATCAAAACACTTCGTGAACCGTGTAGGTTGCGAGATGTTCAGTGTAAAAACCTATAATAACATTAAGTTAAAGCATAATACTTTTCAGAATTTGTAAAAATGCAATTCAGATGAGGACCTTTTCGAATGCTCCAAAACGCAATAGACCTCGTTGACCGACAAATAAAAGGCTGCTTCCAGGGTCGTAAGCTTTAAGGGAAGAAGAACCAAACAGAGAAAGCAACTCACGAGCCTTGCCAGATAATCTAAAGACTGCCTTTTTTACGGAGAAGTGGAGTTATTAATAAAAAATCCAATTTAAAAAGTGCCATTGACAAGGAACAGTCTCCAAAGATTAAGGTGTGATTAATGTAAGCAACGGTTGAATAAAAAAAAAAAGGATTTTTCGAATTAACAGTTTTAATTACTAAGATTATTTTAAACAGTAAACTTCGAAAAATAAAAATAAATTCATAAGTTCTAACACTGCGATTACCTTGACGATATGTCACCATAGGAAGCGATCACAACAATTCGATGATTCGCAATCTGCAAAAGAAATCGAAGAAAACTCTCGTCACTATCCAAAAGACCAAAGTGGTGTACGCTTTCCAACGCTTGAGTGTTCTCTAAAAAAATCACGAAAATTGTTCTAACTAAGAATCTTGAGAGAAATAAAAATGAAAGTTAACAGAAAAGCCATCCTTAAGAATGAAACCTCAAAAATGCTTGTATGCTGGAAGAGAAGAAATTAAACAAAGACGCGACAATTCAAGCACTGTTCAGAGGAAAAGATTACTTACCATTAATTATAGCAATATTTAACCCCTCTATTAACTTCGTCTTCTCAAATAATCTGAAGAATTATTGGCATTAATTATTAACTTCTTGATAAGAAAAAGAACGAAAGAAGATACAATGTCGTAAAAAGCTATTCAAGTTCGAAAAAATATGTTTTCAATAACAATATCTGCATTAAACAAAGTTGCAAACCTAGCACTGCCCAAACAAACTGATGGAACCGAAGAACTGGCCTCACTTGACATTACTAAACGTAAAGCACCGAGCTCACAAACGGTAGTTCCAAAACACTCCGCTGACAAAGCAGCAATTCGTTTAAAAGCTTGAAAAATTATGCCAATTATGAAAGATATCATAATGAGAGCTATCTAAAAATGAGAACTTAAACTGACCTCTCTCCCGATTATTAATACTTTCTATAGAATCCTCTTCATGGTTTTTGAACTGAATAAAAGAGTGACTACCATAGAAAAAAGTCAAACGCAGCAGCAAAAATGCTGTCAGAAACACTATTATCCACAAAGATATACGGCGAAGAAACGTTGTTGGAAACCTCATTTTTAGTGTTTTATAAGAAAAGTTGCGTACATCTCCACCCTAAAACTTATGCACGTTGATGTATTCATTATAAGAGAAATATCATTATAAACTCGAGGCTTAAAAATGAGCAAACTGGCCTGAAGTAGTGGTTCCATTCACCGTGATTTCGGTAAGTATATTAATAATCCTAAGAATCACGTTCTACACAATAAAATGACAAATAAATAACTATCAAACGTTTTGTTTCTTACTCTCTTAAAATGACGGTAAAAACAATAAAATTTCAAGACATATACAAACAAAAAAGTAATTAAAAGAATCCTGAAAAGCTGCACTGAAGAAACCACCTTTACCTGTTGTGATGTAGATTATGCGCGTTGAAGTATTCTTACATTCGTCGGTTTAAGTAAAACGAGTGAGTACCTTCTGTAAGTAATAACCATAAACAAGAATTCCTGTTAAACGGTATTGTCACAGGTACTGTAAAATAAATCAAACAGATAATTTTGCTGATAATATTTGAAACTAAGGATTACGCGATAACCTCCTCAAAATTAAATGCATAACAAACAAGTACTATTTATAAGAAAAACCGAAAGCAGAAAAACTGTTTGCGAATATAAGTACAATAATGTTTCAGAACTAGATAAAAACAGTTCAGAGACAAAGCACCAGTTAACTGCTGCAAACAGAAGAAATAACAAAGCTCGAAACAACTTCGGACTATAAATGAACTCATATAAGTTTACAGCAATGTTTGCATCCGTATATTCTTTGAATATTAACTAGTATTTTGCAATTCAAATTTTTGTTAGAAATTGAGAAAAAAAAGCTCACTAAACTGCAACGTTTAAGGTAAACTGTGACAACATCCTGTTAACGCAGAATAAACAGAATCGGGCAAACTAAACTCAACTATTATACAAATGAAGTAAACAAAACATTTAAAACAGTTCTCTAACACTAATTAAGCATCAGAGCATTAAATTCATACCGCTTCCAAAGTCAGAGATAGATATTCCTAAAACTTTCTAGCTCATTTATAACCCAAGCTTTCTAGGTAAAACAACAGTACACTTTGAAAAAAAAATACTTTTTTGAAAAACGAATAACTATTGGTGGCGTGAATGCAACCAAAACAACTGAGTAAAGTTCCAAGTGATATACAAATAAATAAATAAATATGTAGATATATATATATATATATATATATATATATATAT